AATCAGACATACATTGCTATTCCGGCTGCTGTTACTGCCAAGGCATCAGGAGAGTGCAAACCATCATAGCTCAAAACCTGCATGTCAAAAGTGAATATGTCTCAGATATAAACTTACTGCAGTAACACTGATATGTCAGTGCTCCAAATTCTCAAAATGGAAGCATAAACGATCAAACAATGAACACAGCAAGCAAGAACACAGTGCAATATATGATAAGTCAAAAACTTTGTAACAGCAGACAATATGGCAACGGCAACAAATGCCAAACTTCTCTATGCTTAATCAGAAGAATAAAAATATATAAATATAGAATACCTAGCTCCTCGTTCAAAGAGCATATTTCATATATTTTGTATTATATTTTATCCATGGAAAAATAGTAACATGACAAAAACAACCTAGCATCCATACACTATACCAAACTTATCTTGAATGAGGAAAGAGAATAATTACTTTGCAGTATTAATTTCTCGTGTACATGCTAAATGGTATGTGCACAGTCCAGCAAATATCTGTGCCTAGATACTTATCCCACTGCCTCTGGCCCAAATTATTGTCTCCAATCCATTGACTAAAGATAGTAATATGCAAGATCTTCACATTAAGCAAACCAGTTGTGTCCTTCATTCAAAAGATATCATGATAGCACATTGTCCCAGAGCATGGTCAGAATTCAAGGTTATGATTTCTACATAACCTTGGTCACTAAGCTATTGTATGTTTCAACAATATACGCTCCAGGAAATAGTTCTTTGCAACTTAATTTTGGCTTCAAAACTTCACTATTTATCCTTTGATACTGTCTTATGGTTTGTAAATTGTACAGTATCTTAACATCAACTTTTCCAAGAAGGATGCAAGGAACAACAGCATCAAATCTGCCATACATATAGAGCAAACAGATAGTGCTCTATAATTAGTTCAGAGTATATAACCAGGTAATGAATTGTAACTGTAAGCATCAAAATCATTCTTTCAAAATAGAAGCCAAACTAATCACAAGGACAAGCTTAAACCCAAACTGAGCTCTCTTAATCCAGTGCACATTTTCAACTCCATCTCTTAAATTTATATGTTCTCTTTTCCCCCTATAGCAGTTGCATAGAAAATTAAACCACAAGAAGTTCAACATGATTCAACTAAAAAGGAGGATTCATTGAACTCAATGGTATGACAAGTTTCATTCATCAATCTTCTCGAATTATATCTAATTACTTTGTTAAGTAGAGTTACACAGCATCAAAATCAATAGAACAACCAGTTAACCTTACCTTCTAGAAATCATGGATTGAAGGTCTATGCATAATTGCATTTCAGAACTTGATGCCACTCAAAAGCAATGACACTTACTAAGAAAATTTCATAGTTTTCAGCACAAAGGAAGCCAAAACTTTAAAATATGGCAGCATATCATACAAAAAAAAAAAAAAAAAAAATCTTTGAGAGGCTTGATCAGGATTATACCCAAGACAGTAACTGAGTTTCATGGTAGAAGCCCTTAACCATGGTTGGCCGCAAAGGCCTATCAATCAATCTACAAATAAGAACCTATACAGAACAAAATTAATAAATATTAGGTCAATTAACAGATTCAAAAGACTTAAGAAGAAGACAAAGAAGATGCAGGTAATGAGAACAGAAAGTATCAACTATCTATTTTAGTTAATTTGATTCTTAACTCAGTTTGGGCACCTATCTATTGTAGATTGTCTCAGATGTTTGGAAGGTTTGCAAAATATGGTACTGCTTATCTAAAAACCGCAATAATGAAATGGAAGTAACCACATGGAGCAAAATATGAGATGACACGTCTTCAGACAAAAAGAACACTTCAGATGTCAACTAGGAGTTTAGGATTAAAGAAACTCTTGTGCTTGGATAACAGTAAGTCCTACCTCATGATCTTTTGTTCTCCCCTCACGTTTGAAGAATCCCCCACTGAAGCAGTGGCCAGTGGAAGAAATCAAGCATTAAACATTTGTTCACAGTTCACTTAAAATGGTTAACAAAGAAAACAGATGGGCTAAAAAAAGACAGACCTAGTCCGACCTGCTGCTGAAAAACGCTCTTGATAATTTACATAAAGGGGGAAAAAATCAGAAGGTTCACTGGGAACATCTGCCAAACACACAGTTGTGTAGACAATCTACAAAAGAAAACAGTAATCCTTTAGTTAATTATCAGCATAGAAGAACCATCATAAAATTTTCCAAGCCCAAAATACAAAGTAATGGAATAAATGCACATGCATCGGATGCATGTCCATGTGAATATGTACAAATATCAATATACTAGAGAAACAATACTGCATTTGCTTCTTATAAAATAAAAACCAAGATTGTTCATTTAAATATGAGAATAAGGTTCAGGATAGCAATGTGCTCAGGAAAAGAAGTCTGACACACATTTTTCTTCCACAAAAGACCCCTCTAGCTAAATCTGATAGAGATTTTTCTTTAGAGAAAGACAGCATTTCTGTTAATTATAATTAAACCTAATACTACAATTTTTGTACGGTGAAAATTTAACATTAAAAGTAATTTTAACAAGACAAAGCAAAACGATCAGTCTGTCACTCACCATGAGAAACAAACTAGTTGTTTCTATAAACTGGTAAATGTTGTACATGCCTGCATATATGCAGCTTACAATCTTCTTCTAATATATGCAGGTAAACATTCTTTCTGTTTTCTTGCTAACTCTTGGAATGCATTTTTTTTTTGTTTATGTTAGCTATACAACTTTGGAACAGAGAATATGTTAAACAAAGTTACACAAGAATTTTACTTTTATAAACAACATTAACAAGCATCAAAAGCTTGTAGTAGTTTACATTGTTTTACTAAGAAATTAAAATTAAAAAATAAATAAAGTATAATAATAACAAACAGAACTAACAAGAATCAAAAGCTTTTATTAATTTACAGTATTTTAATAATAAAGTTTAAAAAAAAATGAACACAAATATTAAATTAAACCAATATCAAGCTTCTAAATCTAAACAGACTTGTTTGGAGTATGTCTACACAGAAAACAAGACTAAATTAGCACTTACAGTTTCTCCATCTGTAGCCATAACAGCAGCACTAGCTTGTCTCCCTATATGACCTGTCTCCACCAGAATCTAGAGAAAAAAATAAACATATATTATCTGCTGGAGCATAATTGAATATATGCCAGCCCTATGTTTAAAAAGAAAGAAGTGTATGTCCTCCCTCTATAATCAGCAAATTTCAATTTGGGCACAGCTACTTCAAATGTCAAATAGCTGGGGACATGAGCTCCTAGAAAACATTTACATGGACCCCTCTCACTGACATGATGTGTGATTCCAGCTACTTCATGGCATGAAAAAGGTCCTTCGATATTAGGTGATTCTAGATTTAAAGAAAGATTAAAAGAAAAAGGATTTTTGATATAAAAGTAAAACAGTATCATTAGCAAGGTAATATTGAGGAAAAATTCAAAGGGCTATTTGGGCAATAATGTCTGTCCCAAGACTTTCAACTCCCAGCATGATCTTCTTCTTTTTATATAAAAACTATTATCGCAGAATCTATAGCATGCTGGAGACCATATTTTGTCCCAAGGAATTAAGGATCAAGAACAGATTTAGTTTAATTTTCTACCATATAATATCTACCAACAGTTAGATGAAGGAAACACACACACACACACACACACAGAGACAAAATTGGGATTTGTGATCTCAGGTAATATCGGTTCAGGATCATGATCCTTTTCTATGGATTGGAAGGGTTGTTGCAGAAAGTTTATTCTAAGTAATTTCTTTCCTATATATCTTTATGAACTAGATACCATATAGCAAAGGGGATTCCTTTTTGAACAAATGGTACTTTTAACTTAGAAGGAGCATGAAGAAATCAATGATATTCCTTTATCAGTAAATTTATTCTGCTTGATAGGTAATTAAACAAATAAATATTTTACAAATGTAATTTCCAATGAAACTAACCAAACTTGAGATGAACAAAAGGCATTAGGCAAATCTTACATGCTGTAACTAAAAGGACAAGCTTTGCAGAAACATCTTAGATGAGTAAAAAACTGATAAATTTGCCTCCCACTAATAGGTATTTGGGACATCTCTCCTCTTATGGACTTTGTAGTGAAGATACCCATGAGAAGGCAATAACTAGCTCAATTACATATAATTATAGGGATGAGTTAAGTTTCACCTCTTAACACTTCCAGACCCAAAAAAAACCAGCATCAAAACAACATTAGTCCCATGACTAGCCAAATTAAAATCAAACCAGACTCTTAACTAGAAATTCTTACATTCATTTTCTAACATAAACAGCTATAATTTTCTAGCCCTTATAACTCTCATCATGGCAAGTAGTATACACTATACTTACCTAACGAATCTCCACCAATAAAAAATTCTCATTCTCTAACCTTTTAGCACTAACATTCCCATGGTAACATATTCATTTGAATTCTTAGCCCTCCCAATTTGCTCATGAACTAAATAGGCGAATTCCATTATTGCAACTTAAATTCCACATGATCATGTCAACATTAAGGGGGGAAAAATGTGAGGCCTACCTCTCTATCTCCAAATGGAATTTTAACAGAGACCGGTGGCAGAAAACTCGAAACAGTCCCAAAGGTAGTCGGCTTAGCAGCTTCGGGTTCTATCAACGCTTTAACAGCGAATTTTTTTCCTTTTCCATTTCCAGGTAGAAGCAGGGACAGGGAGCCAAACTTGGAGCAGTTTCTTGAACTGAGAAAGCGAGGGCAACTGCGGGGCAGAGCGAGCTTGCTTAATCGATTAGAGAGAGAGAGATGCGAAGGGAGAAGATGGTACGGCCGCCTCTGCAGGCCGCTAGGGTTGGCCAGCATTTTGCGTTCGGAAGTTCAGTGGCTTTGCCGCTTTAGCTTGAGGGGTAGGAGAAAGGCTGCAGATTTTATCCGTTTGAAGACGCGCCAGGTGAGTGTAAGGTCGGAAAAGGGAATGGGCCGCTTTGTTTAATTTTTGTAAGGAGATAATAATTTTTTTTTTTTGAAAAATTTGTGTGCTTGGGCTAAAATTTGAATTTTTATTTATTTTTGAATGAATTTTTTAGTGAAAATATTTTTTATCAGTTTTACCTTTTAAAAATTAGAAAAAAAATTATCTAAAATTATGTCGTTTTAATAAATTTTTATTTAAAAAATTAAACTACCATATTTTTAAAACATGTATTAAGGTGATTTTTTTTTCTTAATTTTTTGAAGGTAAGACGGACAAGTACTAACTCCTTTTTTAATATATGTTTTAAAATTTAATTTTAATTTTTTTAATAAATTAAGTAATTCAGTAGTAATTTATTCTGTGTAAAAAATTTTGAATTTGATTTGTATGACATGTTGGTAGAATATGATAAAGGATGAGAAAAAATTAACTCTCATTGTGCAACTAATATAAAAAAATTATTTTAATTTTATTAATTATCTAATTAAATTATTTTATATAATTTAATATTAAAAAATTTATTTTTATAATTTTTTATATAAATTAATAATAAAAATTATATTAAATATAACCTTAATCTATATATTGAAAACACATATTAAATAAATCTCCTTTTTATACAGTAAAAAGTATTCT